GCTGTCCTTTCATTTAAAAATACTAAATGCTCACAGGAAGCCTCATTAAAACAACTTACTAAAAACAAAGTCTTAATAATTGCAGCGCCTCCATGATTTTCTAACTAATTTCAAAACATCCAAATGCAGGAGCACTTTAGCAGGTTTAAAAACAATTACGATTCATTTTATCTCATTCAGAACAAATGCCTACAGTTAGATTTTCTCATCATATATTAAAACTCACAGTTTATGCACTATAGTACCCTGGAGCATGACAGCTTTAACTTTGTTCCAGTCTGGGAAATGTCTGCAACCTTTTGTAAGAAGAAAGTCTCAATTTTCCACCTGTGAGAAGCGGTTTACTGTGTACATTGCACACTAAGGTTCATACTATTCTTCACATTAATGCAATACATTTATCCAGAGAAGCTACATGTTCTATTCACTTTCACATACTGTAAGTCACATCATTTTCCACCTGTAAAAGTATCAATAAGGTGGCCCAGTACTTTCGTAATTTATAAAATAAATGGATCGGAAATCGGAAACACATACCATCTTCAACAAAATAACAGACAGCACTGCACAGACTGTGAAGAATCCTGCCACGACCATCATGACGATGGAGACAGCCAAGTTAGTCTGAATCGCAGAAATGGCAGTAATCCAGCCACTGGCAACAAACATACAGAAAAGGTTTTACCAGGCTTGTAGATCACACCAGTCTCTTGATTTATATTGTGAGGAAAGGATCAAAATTCAAAAGCTTCAATGAAAAAGTGTTAAAGAATAGTAACTTTTTTCATTTATATACATTTCTTTAATTTTGAAATCGTAAGAGTTTCATTTCAAACATCCACTTCAATCTGATCCTGTGAAACACGTGTCCAACATATTCACACTGGTCTGCTACTTTGGACATTTTAGGGTATTACAGCATATAACATATCACATATTATACCGTATGCCTTAGCTTAAGAACTCAAACACTCCTATTAATATAGACCAGGATACTTAAATCTTGATTAAATTACAAAACCTGGGCAGAATCAGAATTAAGTAAAAGAATAACATGCAAACGCGGAGAAACCTAGAGACTAAGAAGGAAAAAAATAAGCCGGTCTTTTTTTTCCCCAAACACATGACAGAAAGCACAGGTATAAAAAAAGAGGAAGGACAGAGATGGTTAGTAGACAACAGAGTGCCTCGCACTTACAGAGTAGCCACCAGGAAACAGAGCACACCAGTGGGTTAGGCAGCAGGAATCTGTCAAAGAGATGGCAAGAGAAGAGATGCAAGAGAGAGCTTACAGGCTTAGAGCCTGAGGTACACACACACAGGGAAACCACTGCCCACGCGACTGCCCTCTGCTGGTCACCCACACACTCACCTATTACCCCAGTGAGGGATGCCCACTGACTGGATGATGTACACTGCCACTTGGAAGAAGAAGACGAAGAAGAAGAAAAAGAAGTTGAAGGAGCTGTCAGACCTAGGAGAAAAAGAACGAATAAATAACAGCATCGAGAGAAAAGGGGAGCAACAGACATCTTTCTTTAAACTTATGCTACCTTCTAATTAAATAAATGGCAGTGCACACTACAGGCACTTCTGCCTAAGCAATGTCATCAGGTTATAGATGCATTTCAGAATGATATAGTGGGTTGCAACAAGTGCAATTTCAAATGTTACTGGCATCAGGCCCTACCTTTCCCTTTCACTTACATTATGCCAGGTGGAAAGTGGTCCTACTGCTGTGCAACCAAGTGCCCCAGTGGAAACACAACAGGGTCTTGGCTATTGTGAAAACATACATGTAAACTATATGTTTTAGATAAATGATACAATACATATCACCAGGTGGGAACAACCAATATCTCAGAAGTGTGAAGGTGGAGTTTTTAAATCATGTTTTCTTTCACTGATGATGTTTAAATGTTTTAAATAAGAAATCTGTAGGAAAGACAAATCAAAGGAAATTTTACATAAAGTACCTTTTGTAACATTTTTATGTTCTCTGCAGCACTGAAAGGCATTTCTTTGGTACCCACTACATATAAGAAATGAGATATTTGCAAATATACTTGGTTTCCAACAGTAGTTATTGACTGATTTTGAATCATCTCACATTTTTACTGGTGTTTTAATTTTACTGTCCTCCTACGGAGAGGACTGCTAGCCCCGAAATTTCTACGTTTCTGTGAAATGACCCGGCCAGCGACATCGCCACTCAGGGCACTCAGGCAGTGAAGAATGCCGGCGTGGTGAGGTTCTGGCACAGCTTTTCACAACATCCGTGCAAACAACAGGGGACGTTATCACAACCACGGCACCACAGCGTCGGCGTGGTGCTGAGAAGGGTCATGGAAATGTATGCGACGGTCAACACAACCTGATCCAGTCAGAGAGCACTCACTTGAAGGCTTTATAAACAGGCCTGTACCAGCAGAGGAAAGCACAGGGGGAGAAGAGGACAAACCACAGGATTGACAAGCCGAAGTCCACCCCATTGCTAGAACCTAGAGTGAAGTACGCCAAGCAGGCCAGCAGGTTCAGGAACAGGGTCACACAGTGAACTGCAAAGAAGGCACAAGAACTGCTTCTTCAACACACATTCATTTACAATAACGGCACAGCATTTCATTCACTTCCTGGAAGTTTCAGAAAGGTGTAACAGAGAAAACACTGGTTGATGCAGCTTTACTCATGTCATCAGACAGCACAGATGTCCTCACAGCTTCACTGACACGTATGAAACAAGATCACAGTGGGAGCAAGGACTTCCATACTGAATTTTCACCTCTCTGTTGCAGTTAGGTGCCTCTGAATAAATATGATGTGTCCTGCACACCTTAAACTTTAATTTGAAGAGCTTGGATAAGGATGTGTTTTTAACAAATTTGAAGTGTCGGCATTCAGCTGAATACCAGACAAAGCAGCCCTGCAGGAACAAGTTGTAATGATGTGATGTTGCAAAGGAACAAGTAATAGGTTTATTCCATGTTGAAAAAAAAGAAGAAAGAGAACACAACGTTTCGGCCGTGGAGCCTTCTTCAGGCTTCTTCGCTTCTTCATGATGTGATGTTGATGATGTTTCTTTATTAGCCCTATACAATTTCTTGCATTAGGAATTCGTCTTTTCCTCTGCCGGCCGCGGGATTTGAACCGGCAACCTTCCAGTCACAGGCGCCGATCCTTAGCCACAGAGCCACCGCTCCGCTCCGTACGGTAGGTACGCTCAAAAAGGATAGCTAACACTTTTCTTGCAATCACCAATTGAATTATAGCCGTACGAAATTCGTCTTGACTTTCGTATGCCCTGGCTGTCTCAGGAATCACATGTGAACTAGATCCCTTCATACATCTCTTCCACTTCACCTGCTGCACAATACAAGACAGAAACTATCAACACTAGGACAACGCTAACACACATAGGATACCCATAACTTCCCAACAGATCTCGGCTTGAAAATTTGGTAAGAGGATGAGTACAATATGCAGATTGTAGTTCTGCCCTAGTTAAAAAAAATGTGAGTGCCACAGATATTACTTACACATCCAAAGGTAATACATCATCTTGCAAACCCTTTGGAATTCTACAGGAATATCCCCTGCAAAGTCCTGGTAAAAGCAAGGCTTTATCGGACAGTTCTTTGGTAGCGGTGGCCAGTTGTTCTGTGTAGCTGAAATGAAAAGACATAAACAAGCTCTTTACATTCACAACATTTTAAAAGTTTTGTTGCAGTAATATCTTATTTTGGCAATTTTAGAATACAGTATAGATGACAAAGGGCTTCCAAATACAGGGAAGGAACTAGAAGGTTATGAAAACGACTTCCAACATTTTTCTTCACAAAAGCATGTACTGTTTAATCAATGCTGACTGATAAGAATAGGACAGTCTGAGCTCGTCTCCTACAACGGTTTGCGTCACTGCTTTCAAATACCTTACAGTAAAGGCAGCGTCATCTTGAGAAGTGGAATAAAGGAATCGTGCAGATCAGACACGACAACACAAACAACAATAAAGATATGAAAGGGGGAAACAGCAGTGACACACTGATCCTTCATCAGGTACAGAAAAAAATGTGAATTAGGTCCATGACAATGACTCAAGTGAGCTGCATTTCCCAGAACACACAGAGCACCTTATCCGACACACTTCCGATTCTGGGAATGGCGATGACACCCTGGCCTCACGCATTGCTGCAAACCGTGTGTTCTGGAATCCGCGCTGTTGAATTTTACAATGGAGGAGACTCACTGGAGGAAAAGCCCTTGCTTTGCATCTCCTGCTCCCTGCGGTCCAGCTCTGCAGCCTTCCTCTCCAGCTCCTCCTGCTGTCTCAGGAGGTTGGCCTGGCCTGCCACTGCTGTGGCCTGGGGAGAAGGAGAAAGTACAAGTAATTCCACCTGCTCAACTGTTACAGGCTGACCTGTTGATGCAGATACTACCCTCCAATAGCATAATACAATGGAATCCTTCCCCGTTAGGCTTTGAGTTTAATTTGTTCTTAGTGAGGCTCCTTTCTTGCCATTTAGTATTATGTTGTGGTACAAGGAGCATGGGAAACTTGAATTGCTGTTACATAAATTGTGTCAATATAAGATTTGTTACCACTGTAAACTGTCTAAGGAGTCAAGGGTTATTCTAGGGTTAAAATTATTTTAGTAAAGAGTTAGGATTATTCAAGTATATCCTCTTGGTCTCCTGCACCCATGTGGGCAAAAGAAGAGGTGGGACAGACCGTCTCCTCCAACATGCAGCCTCCCAGGCCAAAAACGGACAATTGTGAAGATTAGAATTCCACCTTCTCCTAAAAGATATCTTCAGAAAACCATGATTTTATTAAGCCAAACTCTGCTCCCTTGCTGGTTGGATTCTGGAGTCAGCATCGTCATAAAACCTCAGATGAGGGAAGCATATCTAGTGCAGCAGCAGAAGACGTACAGACTGGAAACATTTCCGCATCATCTAAAGCGGAACTAACTCCAGCCAGAACAGCAAAAAGCACAAAGCTGCCTGGTGAGTTTCTTCAATGCAAACGTTCCCGAATGACACCTCTCACCCATGCCTGGGACTAGGCCAGCGATCAGAGGGTGAAGCTTGGGATGAACAGCAGCACCAACCTGTGGACTGGGCTCCACTGAGGGCTGTAACACTGCTGGCTGGGAAGGGGTTGTCCGGGCAGAGGGCTTTGTCTGAAAAAAGGCAAATAAAAATCAACAAACCCAGACTGCAAAGTGCCAACACACACAATACACTAATATACTCTATACAGTTCATTGCTTTATGTATTCAATCCAAAGTTTACATATAAACATTTCAATATCAAGCAATGGATGAAGATAACAACAAGGTACTGCAGTAAATAATGAACAAGACCAGCTGCTCAAGAACATTATATAAATGGTAACCTTATCTTTACGATTAATAAAACAATACATTTCATCACGTTACATCCTTATACTGCACATTTCACTTTCGATAATGGAAAGCATAAGAACAGACAGTGCTAGTGCAAAAAATATTTTTTACCACTATATGGTCATGCACGCTGGCTCAAGAAAAACATCTGCACAACGGGTGTATAAACCCAAGGTATGGTGGCACATTTTGCTGAGCTGAGTTATAATTTACTGTGCAGAGACAGACACACAGAGATGAAGACGTCTCCTTACCAAATTAGAGGTCTCTGAGAAAGGGTTGAATTCTTGTATTGGTTCTGTACTGGGAGCTGTCAGCTGTGTGACTGAGGGATCCTGTAACAAAGATATTCCAGAGATCAAACCTCTGTTGCTACAATGAAAACATCAGCTTTCTTTAGAAACAGCAAAGATGATCATTTTTATTTTCTTGTCATGTTTTACCCCCTTCATGTTAAAATATGAAGAAATTCGAAACTGCTACCAAAACAGATGTTTTCTACTGTTTTTTTTTCCTTCCAGGAGGCCCATGATATTAGTGATGCAATAATCAGTGTCCTGCACGCTCTCATCACCACGGTTAGAGAATAGGTGCCTGAAGTCTTGCTGAAGGCAGCAGGTCATGTTAACATACAAAAGGACAATGGCTTACAAAGGAATTTGTGGGAGGGCATAGCATTTAGCTTTTTGATGTTTAAATGGTTTCTATGAGCCTTCCTTTCAGAAATCATAGCCGCTTCAAGGCCGACTTGCAGAATATTTCTAGTCCAACCAACAGAATAAGAGATCCTTGGATAGATTCCTAGAGTTAAATTGCAGCCAGATCATGTATTATTTACTAAATCTCTGGTCAGTTTTTTTATCTTGTATCTGTCCTAAAAAAAGGGCCCTGCAACAAGAAAGCAGATAAATATCACATGGTGTGCAGCGCTGACTAAAACCGTGACAAAAGCTCAGCATGGAGCCTTCATCTGATGTAATAGCAGGAAGAGACAATATATTTTCTTTCCTAGTTTCAAAGCACACCTTTATTGTCCTACATTGTGGGCCTGGCCGAGGTCCAATATGGATTTGTGACTCTTTAATAATGACGAACGTCTGAGCTTGATCTCTGCTGATCACCTTTTTAAACAGTCTTTCCTCTGCTGTTCTCAGAATAATTAGACATAAGCATCACAGTGTCACTGTACATAATACATGAATCTACTGGTGGAAGTCTTTTTATCTTTCGATTTAAAAAGACTCAGGCTGAGACAGGGAATCAGACCCTAGAAGGAACTGCCACCCTGCTTGACGAAAGAGCTCCAAGGGCGTAGTGTTTGAACAACACCAGCCTGCAGACTTGTAATGTACAAAAAGCACTAAGCTCCTAGGGTGTGTGAAAGAGGTACACTCCCTTGTCTTACAGGTTTTATAATCATACAGCCCAGAGAAACTAGGATACAGCCATTATCCACCTAGAGAAGACACCAAAACCCTAAGTGTCACCAGAGATGTGTGTTGACATGTTAATTTATATAGAACAGGCAGGTACTCCACTTAAAATTGTTTTTAACAACATCAGAAATAAAGCATACTCTGGAATCTCAAAGGCCACTAAGGGAAATTAACTGCCATCCTTAGGCTATCCATGAAAATATTTATATCCCACCACAGAAGCAAATTCTCCCAAACTGTATTAAGCTGCTACAAATTAATTATGTTTCTTAATTAACTCCTCATACTGTACTTTTTGGGGTTTTTTTTAAATTAATTCCTCATACTGTACCTTTAGGTATTTCGAATGAAATACAAGCATGGATCACTCAGTTCGTCACATGGTTAGCCGTGTTTGAATGTGAAAGAAACCACTGAGCCATGCTGTCCATTCCTTGGGGAATGAGGCTATGTGCCCCCACTCATTTATCCACCCTGTTATGGCTGGATCTTGTGCCTCTCTGCCTTGGGCTCACCTTCAGGTGTGGCATGATTTTATATCGTAAGAACTAAGAATTATTCAGCCATAAGCAAGAGAAAGCCACTCTGAATTTTAAAAATCACCTGCACCAACTCATATGTTTCTCTACTTACTACCATATTTTTCTTTTGTCCTTATTTTTTAGCCTTTCTTCTCAATTCCCCTTTGTTCCTTTCATTATCCGATCTTCACACACTTCCTGTTAACTCTATTTCTACAATCCTCCTTTTTGCTTCTTCTACCATTGCTCATGAGCCAGGACAGAAGTGACAACTGTGGGGAAGACAGCTGAACTTATGTGCTGAGATCAAGGCACCTGTAGTATACAAAAAGTTGTAGGTGCATGGAAAAAGCTATCCAACCATGCTTTAAAATAAAAATTAGCTAGAAGGTATGAATGGCCTCCTTTCTTTTAAAAACATTCTTAAGTTCTTATATTTCTTTAATTCTCAAAGATTTAAATGTGGAGTAGGGAGTAAATGTATTTTACTCTGTGTGGCTGCCTGCTGATTCAGCTACTGCCTATAGGGCCATCCACATCATTTTCATAGTTCAGATTATGCCCAAGATTATAGCACTTCATACCTTCCTAAACCAACTTTAGTCATTAAAAGCAGAATATCATACTGGACTTTAATGGTGTCACAAACCATGATGTGAACAGTGTATATAAACCATAGCTCCATCGTCAAAATGGAACCCTATTTCTTTCATGTGTAAAAACTGCTGGGCTTCTGCTTTGACTCTTGACAATTTTATACAGTTATGTCACAATGAGGTAAGATTGTGTAAGAGAAAGGAAACATCAGTTACATGCTGTCCAGTATAAAAACAGATGAAATTTTATAGGAGAGTTAAACCAACCCAAACAGCCCAAGTAAAAAAAATTGCCTTATCTGAAATACAATGTACAAAATATGATTACTGAGTTACTCCATTCTCCTGAACACTACTGGTCCAATTCAATCTAACTGAGGCTTGAAAAATGCTGTGTCACTTACACCTAAGGCCAAGTGCAATTTAAGGTAATCAGGCCCTATCATGTGCCCATCACTTTTAAAATTCTGGAACATCCCATGTTAGCATCTGGATGGGGGTGGCAGACAAGTTCACCTGGCATTGTGTGAGGAACCTGTATTCTTCTGCTCCAGCAATTTCTGCTTATTTAAGGGAGTAACAACTTGAGATATTTCCTCTCGATACTAGTAAGAATATGAGTTGTCCTGATTGTACCTGATGTTGTGTCCCTCCCTCAACCCATGCATATTATAAGACAAGATTTTAAATACAGCTCTTCTATGCTCTGATCCCATAATCATTAGACCAACCCTAAGACACATACCCTAAAAAATCAAAAATCTGCACTTAAACCTTTTAAGTTTGTATCAACTGGGAAATCCCACTTCTGTGGCCTATAAAACTTATTTTTGTTTGACATTAATGAAAACACGTTTATATTTTAGTTTACAAACAATACATAGTTGAGCAAAATGTTTAGCCCAATCGTAAAACAAAAACAAACGTAAGAGGTTATTAAGCTGAAAGCTGAGGTTTGCCACAGGACTGAGTTGTGATGCAGAAGAAGTTAGATTTTACATTTAATTAATTCAACTTTGTTCCATGTTTTGACTGAAAAGCAGTCAGTCTAGTGATGGACACCGATTCACATCTGTGCTAGAAGCGCAACTCATTTGCAGCACCAAGAGAAAACTGTCACCACTTTGCATTCTATTCTAGAGGCAGTCCAGGAGGTGAGATCAGTTCTACCATAATTCTTACACTAATGTGAGATGAGCTTTGTTTGCAGCCAGCAAAGAAAAAGAATTTTCTATCTGAGCCCGCTTTGTACATCAGGAAATAAAAGAATATCTTCATATTTCTAAAGCTTTTTGTGCTCAACCACTATTGTACAGAAATATGAAAGGAAATTATTGGTAATATTTCACCCAGATGTTCTGTTACAAATCAACCAATTATTATCACAAAAGCACTGCTGTTTCCTTTATCTTTCAATGTAATGACTTGTCTTAAAAGGGTAAAGGCTTATTTATGATTTTGATTATCATCATAATTTTCCTTCTAAACAATCACTCTATTAAGACTTAACTGTGGCCTTAACTAACCTGGCCTTGTGGGTTTTTTTTAGTCAAACATATTAGTAGCTTAAGATGCTATTCTTCTGTTTACGAGGTTTATCAAACGTTGTTTTTAAGCAAAGAAAACAGACTACCAACCAGTAAATGTAAAATTTACCATTTTTTATGTAAAATGATCAACCCCAGATGTTGCTGAAGTACTTGGTAATTCCAAACAAGGCTAACTGAGTACTTTAGGTTGAGAATGATTGCTTATAAGCCAGTTTTTAAAACTAAACACCAATTTAAATATTTTGCATAAAGCTAACATCTGGTCACATACATACACATTTGTAACTCACGATACAGAAAGTATTTATCCAGCATTTAGTTCACAATCCTAACCGGGTTAAACCACAAATCTCTCACTGTACAGACAGACAATAAAGGGCAATTTTCATTCATTGCCTTTAGCAAGACAACGCTTTCTATTTTGGGAGCTAAACAAACGTTACCCCCGGACAGCAGTGGTGAAAACGAAACGCGTTTGGTTGAGGTCTAAACAGAAAACGATGAGCGTATCCATTTTCAGTCCTAGCGAGCACTCAGGATAGTATCAAGACCTTCAGTGCAGGAAACTGGGGGTCTTGCGATCTGCTTCGTGGTACATGTTCTATCATTGCCATATTTTGTGCTGGCGACAATGCACGGTTTGTGAATGACAAGATTAACAAAACCTCTGGTGCACTTCGAGGTTGTATGTTTTTATCTGAATGCACCCAGACTGCTTTATTCCCCTAATATTCGACACCATGCCAATACACACGTCTGGGAACAGACGTAATTTCAGTTAATATCCATAAACGTGCCTGCGGTGGCCTGCGTGCTTCAAGAGCAACACGTAACACGCAGCTGACACGGATATCTGGCAGTGCTGTGGGTAAACGCACTCTCCAGTCCTTTAAGTCTCATATTGCACTGCACAGGACAGAGAGAAAGAGACCTGCACCTGTTGGTGACTGAGCTAATCGTGACGACCGATTACTCAAATCCTTAACAGCTTTTAAAGCTTTGGTACACACGAGATGTTTTTACACCCACTGGTTTAAAATGTCGCAACTTTACTTTTCAATAGTTTTTAACAATCGGCTATAAAAGTCAATAAACTTCCGAAATGTATCCCTCCCCACAACTCCACCTGAAGAAAACCCAAAATGCCGCCCCCTTCGGCCTCCCGATTGGACGACACACTAAAATCCTTCACTCCGATTGGTGCAAAACTCTGCCAGTCACGCCACGTCGCCAGAGGAATGTCAGCTGGGCCCAGCCCAACAAGCAACCCAACAGGTTTGTTGTGCGGCGTTTGCGCCTCTGAACGTTTTGCTTTAAGACGCCAGATTACAGATGAGCGGGTCGGTCGGGGGTGTGCATACCTGGAATGGATTGACCTCCACCGGCTCCGCGAAAGGGTTACTGTCGAATCCCGACATTTTGAGTGAGCTGTCCGGGCTCCCTGTGCCGATTCGATGCCTTTCGTACTTTCCTTACGCAGCGGTGTATCTGTTCACTCAGGCACTTCCTTAACAGCAGCCTAGTGCGCAGGCGCCGGGCGTGTGACGCACACGGCGTGACGTCACCCTCGGGCAGCCTGCGCCGCGCCGGCAGGAGGAAAGGACTCTGCAATGATACTCGCATTGTAAATGAGACCACAAGGCGCAAGCAAAACAACAGCCCTCAAGCACACGCTGGACAAACGCACGGTGCTTGGTCCACCCACCCACACCCTGGTACGCCTTGCAGAATTGGTCCTCACACTGAACGCATTCTCTTTCAATAATCTTTTTTACCAAAATGGTCAGTGGAGTTGCCATGGGCACCAGAAGGGGACCCAGCTATGCCAATATTTTTGTCGGCTGGGTAGAAGAACGCTTCTTCGCTTCCTACACTGGCTATGTCCCTGACCTCTACAAACGATACATTGATGACTGCGTCGGTGCCGCCACATGCTCCAACGATCAGCTTGAGTTCTTCCTGCACCATTTCACCAACTTCCACCCGTCCCTCAAATATACGGTTAACATATT